GCAAGTGGAGGAGGAGGAGGGGAGGGGGTGCAACACGGTCGTTTCTGCAAGGAAGGCGTGCTGGCGCCACCTGTTTGGGTTCCACTTTCACAACTCTCCTACTTCCGTTGCCTCACGCCTCGTTTCTCCTACTGACGATGGTACCTATGCCACACAATCACACACACAGACACACACATGCAGTGCAAAGGAAATGCCGCGTCTGCCGGTGTGGTTCGGCGGGACCGCACTTTTCAGCGGCGGGTACTACACCTTTTACCACTGCTTCTACACTCCTCGCCACACGACGTGGCGTGAACTCGAGTCGGCGATCGAGGCAGAGAAATTGAGGTTGCAGTATGTCCTGCAGCGATACGCCGTGCTGGGGTATATGTTGCAAAGACTGCGGCAAAGCGGCGCAGAGGCGACGAACCGGGAGCGTCTGTACATTTACTGTGAGATGCAGCAGCTGCGGGAGGCGTTTTATAACTTTCCGATGCGGTCTCAATCCGCGTCGGAGAAGCAGAAAGTGATGCAGGACCTTGATGCTGTGGAGGTGACTTATTGCACAGCACCGAACTTTAGGGACGAGGCTCTGACGCTGCGGCAGATGATCACCTGCCAGTTCTGCTTTGGCCTCTATGCGTTTTGTTTCTGTCTCCTTGACTCCCGTCCTGCGGCAGGTGCAGTGCAAAGTGGTGGAGCGGATGCGGAGACATGGACTGCACACCGTGTCACAGTGGATTTTGTACTGTCTGCGTATTCCTGCCACCATGACGCTGGAGAACACGTTACCTCGCCGGGATAGCCACGGCGATGAGGTGAAGCGGGAGCAGGATGCGGAGGAGGCGTATCTCGTGTTTGCCCCGCAGTACTGGATCGAAGTGTTGGGCTTCTGGGCGTGTCCGACCAACCCGCTTCTGGCAAATATGCGAGTGCGATGGATGCTGGCTTGCGATGCTGTGCCGTTCGAGGTGCACTGGCACCGACGCTGGCAGCGCATGCGGGAGGAGCTGCAGGACCCCGCCGCGGTGGTGGGCGAGGAGGAGGGTAAGGGCCGGACGGTGCAGTCGTTATTCGGCTACCCGCTCGCAACGCGGGTGAGGTGCAGAGAGGAGGCGTACGACGGCAACAGTGACTATAGGGAGTCTACCAAGGGCGTTGGGGCTCCACCACTGTTTCCGGTTGTCGCTGCTGCTATGCCCCGTGTACTATTTCTGGATGACGCGGTGGCACGGAGCGACGTACGCGCGCGGCGCACGCTACACGGGGTACATGCAGACGTGCAGCGGCGCCAATTTGTCATGAAACACGACGCCGCGAAGGACAAGAACGCTCAGGCCAGCGTGGGTGGCTGAGAGGCGGCGCTTGCACGACTACGTGACATGCTTGGCGAGCGCACGGCGGTGTGCCGGTGTGGCATCGTGCTGAGTGGGGCTCGATCTACGGCGATGTGGGGCGTGCGGGGAGCCGTGACAGGCGTGAGTTAACGTTTTGCGTGGGCCGCCCTTGCTCCGCGCGAGAGTTGATGGTGAGGCAGATGGAGCTGCAGCAGGCTGGGGGAAACAACGAGGAGGTGTGTCTCCTGTGAGTTTGAGCGACAGAAGGGACCTAAAAGAAACGAGGACGAGAGGAACTGCATACCGTATCGATTTCATTGTTTGTGTGTGTGTGTGGCTTTTTGCAGAAAGTTCCATGTGAATTGTTCTGCTTGCTGGCATGCATCTGTGATAAAGCCACCCTCACTGAAGAGGAAAGTGGTGTG